GTATGAAAGATTCCTTAGAGACATCTCCTTAAGGTGCATCGTGCTATAGTTATGAGGTTTCTGCTCATTACTCGTCTGTCAATGAAGTGAAATTAGCTTATATATATACTGTTTCCCAAATTCCCAAATTAATATTACATGGTTACAAGACCGCCAACAAACCGACAGGCAGAGCCGGGATGACAAAGCGACGAAAATGAATGACATCGATTTGGTGGGTCACTGAGATATTTTTAAATAGGAAAAACAAAATATATTCGCAATTGCGATACCTCGATCGTTTAAGGAATGAGTTGAATAGAAATTCTTCTCCTGCTTTCATTTGACTTGATTAGATCCTACTTAAACAAAAGAATAACTAAGGTCTGTCTATCTGTTTCTAACTTTTAGCCCGTCTATAACTCGGAAAGTGGGCGGAGACTGGATTTGTTAGATAAGGAAAGAACTGGAGCAAGCTCCGTTGCACACCTTTTTAGTACAATAGCAAGAGTCAAGCCAGCACCAGAATCTTTGTTGATGCTAAGTGATAAGGATTCCCGCCTAATGGTCTTATGGTTCAGGATTACTCCTCACATTCCTACAGAGTGTAAGGAACCCTTGGAATTGATGACACTCGATCACTGGTGGAAAGGGAAATGTCCATGGTGGAGTTGACATCAAAGATCTTCTCTATAATTAGAAATACATATAATGCATCTGCTAAGGAACATTCATGACAGCTCAGTAATTATGCCTAAAATAATTTGAAAATTTTGCACGTTCTAGAAAAAATTACTTTACTGACTCTACAATAAAGATGGAGAGAACTACACAATATTTGGAAAGTGGCTCATATGGCGATAAGTAATCGGACATCTTATGTAGCTAACACCGTGGTTTTAAATAGCACATTTTCAAGGTCTTTTTGGACACTGCCAACACATAATGAAATTTCATAACGAGGTCGTTAATAAAATAAAGAAAAGTTTGCTGCCTTTATGGACTATAATGCATATTACACATATGGATTGCACATATTTTCAGTTTAATATTGACCATCAGGGGGATATTTTATGCCAGTACAGCTGTTGCACCGGCGTTTTTCTGTCAGACCGATTGATAAATTTGCATACGGTGGCAAACACGATCGATGCAACTATTAATGACGAAGCCAATCCGTTCCGATTTATTTATGTATGCATAGTTTTGGTTTGATAAAATCATATGAAATGCATACACGGAGTTTCTAGCACGCATATTCACAGAATTACCACTAAACTTAATTTATGAACATAATAATCTACCATTAACAATAGTATGGGCTTATGGATTTTTGATTAACGACATCTATATACATCTACCTACTGTGGATGTGGCTTAAAATATCAATTTTGACGTCTGTAATTAGTATCTTAGATATGTATTCAAAAATTACAATTTCATGCATAGGTATAAATCTCAAGCGGCTGTCAAGCAAATTGCGAAAATCGACTGGTACATAATCCCAAGGAAAAAGTACACTAGTAAAGGAAACATTGTATAGGTAAAAGAAATAGGTGAGAGTTGGCTAAAGAGTGAATACTAAAATTCAATCTCAAGTCACTTGACTTCATTTTTCGCAAAAACTTCAAAGGCAAGCCTCGTACTCATTAATGAAATTGACCCTGGGGTGTCAACCAACTTTACAGATCACCGTGTTCATAAGACTATATACTTTTCAACCTGAAAACACAGTTTATCTATGGAACAAAAATAGTATGGTTGAATTAGTACACAAAAAATTAGCACCAAGATCATAAAATGCTCTGATTAGAACGGACCTGTCTCGTCGGTCGCAGCAAGTCCTTGGAAGTCTTTGACTGAGCTTACTCTAGAATAGTGTACACACTTCCTCAAAAGTCTCAGCCATCTCTTCTACCGATGGGCGGTGGTCTTTACTCTGCGCCATTTCCTATAAGATTATCTCTGCCAGCCTCTCTCTATGCGGTGGTTCTAGTGGTATAAGAAATACTCTCGAAATGAACTGGGTTATATTTTAGACCACAGTCTGCCGTGGGCCATGATGTGGCGCGCCAATAGTATCCAGGTAACCTGCGCGTACTTCCAAAACGCCTTCCAACTTTTCATGTGAAGCACTGGTTACGGGAGCTCTTTGAACCCAGAAAGGTCGCGATATCTATAAATAGAAACCGTCAGAAAAATTCAACCTACAAGAACCGTCCCCCTATATAAACACATTTATCTGGCCCCAAAATAAGTATGAATGTATAACTACAAAAAAACGAGCCTCCAAAAATTTACTTACAAACAAATTACATACAAAGTATTTTGACTATATTCTTAAATGATTGATAACTCAAACTCATATCTGATCTATTACTTAGCATCTGTAGCATTTCGTGTTTCCACATGTTTTATTAATGTAACACCCTTGATATGTGAGTACTCTTTCTCGCGAAACTAGTAGTCAAAGATTACGTAACAGTCAACAAGTGTGTTGCAACAACACGTGTGGGTGGGCTTTGGCTTTCTGGCTTGGTGTTTCCATGGCTAAGAGCGAAGGTGACGTGTCTGGTACATCGAAAAACACAGTTAATATTATGCTCGTTTGTCGCCTTGAAGGGGCTGGACGTAATAAAAGAGGCAGTAATGCGTTTTCTATGTGGTCTCGGACTTTGCTGAGCTTACGGGGTTCCATTTTAAATTGAAAGGAGCTGTTACTAGAACACTTTGTAGGATAGCTGCAAGAATATATGAACTGTTACCCGAAATACAAGTAAATTTGAAATATATTAAGCGCTTCAGCTAGGGTAATAGAGTCTAGCGCATTTAGGCTGAATACCATTAACTGAGGAATAGACATCAGTTTGAAAATTATGATGATGCATCGGTATCATTCAGAGAGTAGCTGTGACAGTTCGGAACATTTGATCTACAAACTATCAAGTCTTATAGCCTGATCAAAACTGCTGACAAACTGTCAGAACTATTTCTTAGTTACTGTTTTGCACAACATAAGGCCGCGGCATCGAAGTGCCGCTGAACTCACTCATTGTCATTGTCATTTACACTTTGGAAAAGTCCACTGAGGTGGCCGAAATTTTAGTATATCTTCAGTTCTCCTTCTAGTTTTATTTGGTGACCAGCAAAGCATGTGATCCATACTTTGTCTTTCATTATCTCCTTTTCTCATACTGGTCCAGTGTAGATCAACAGCAATATGTGAGAACAAGATCAATGCGCATTGGCCAGCGTGGCAACTGAAAACAATCAGGTCAAACAGGAATACGATAAGCACTGATCTGAGATACGAGGGTATAAAGATATGTTTTTGAAATAACTTAATTATATCACTAGCCATGTTTACAGTGCATCCATGCTCTTACACATCCACAAATCAACATAGTTATGTGTGCAGATTGCTGATCCGTGTCGGTTTACACCGTTTACACCGTGTGGTATGCGCTCCGAATTCAGACTAGGTAGAAGGAGCATGCCTATGATTTGTTTGTCTCCAAAAACTGTTAGAATGTAGTCAAGAATTAAATTTTCATATTACAAGTCGATCAAGCTCAATCCTACAGTTTGACAGTTGCCGACGTTTCACATGAAATTAGTATTTTTGTGCGAAAACCTATAAAAGTACGTGGGTTCTATACAACCCTAGTGTTGCAGTCGATGGTGGTGAAACAGAATAACTATTAGTTAAGTGTTAACATATTAAAGTCATGAGAGCTATTAAAGAGCATGTGCCACAACTGTGGGCTTTTACAAGGACAGATTTGAGATAATTTTGATTTATTTCAGTCCACTTCTTGTGTCCTTTAGTGCTATCGGAATCTAAGGTTTGGTAACAGGATTGTATGTCCAGTACCAGCATTGAGAAATGAAACGTATTTTAGACAAACCAAATTTTTTGATATATATCTACTGAAAAGATCCAACTAAAACTTTAGCTTTGAGTCTTTGAATCTAGAAGTTCTTAAGCAAGGTCTTTACTTTCACGTTTAAACTACTTCCAAACCTCTTAATTGGATAAATATAGTGATGATAATATGATAGCAGCAATTTCCTAAGTATTTACTTTTAGCCAAGAATCTGCTCGAATCACAACAGCCGTATGAGTGCTTGTAAACGTGGACAGTTAATAAATTTAGAACTTTGCTTGAACCCTATCTGCTGTGCTAAACACGAATCATAGAATAAAGTGGATTGGATGGAAAGCAGCGATAATATAATAAAAAATAGAAGGGCTTATGACTAATTAAGATTACTCGTGTCAAAAGGTAACTTATAGCTTTTTGTACAAAGTGGCAATCAGAATCTCGGTAAGCATCCACAAATCTTTGAGCAATTGTCTGTAGCAGTTTTTGGTTTTCTACTTGTCTTGCCTACAGCTGCAACAGCTAAAATAAACAACATCAATAAAGTCTTTATCATAAACAGCACAATATTTGGTTACTATGATGTGGCATTGCATTTTGCAATGCTTATAAGTTATATCATTTCAATCACGTACATCCTTTTATAAATTGAACTTGAAAATAATATTTGATATACCGTCGAAGATACAAGTACAAACGATTTAAAAAAACACACTTTACTCTTCTTCATAAAATGATCTGGAGGAATCATATCCTCGAAGATTAGCACGTCAATAAGGAAGACCTTGTACATTAGAGACAAATTGAACAGCTTATCTGTACATAACTTGCAAGACTAAATTCATGATTTTGTCACTGAGTTCTAACATTTTTTTTGCTTTTGACTGTGGTTGATGTAATAAATGTAACTAACATAAACTGACTGAAGCACCACATGGAGCTATTTGTCAAACGCACCCTGTATCATATCCCTCAAGTTGGCCAAGTGCGGCCAATGTGCAGATACTGCGTCTTTTCCTCGCTCAACGCTAGCACATCATACCATGTTGGGGTCAACGTTCAAATGAGTTGGCCCACTATATGAATGCAACATTACAAGCTATAAGCGGAAAGTAACATTTTTTTGCTTTTTAGATTGTTTGATTCATATTAGGGCGTATTAACCAAATTCAAAACTCTGTATTCATTTTTTTTGATTATCTAGCTATTTTCACCATACTAAACAAGACCGCACTGTGAAATCAAACATGCGACCTTGAGAGAAGGTACTCAATGCCGTGGTACCTCGAACCGCGAGTCCGGTACTGCTTCAACTGGCAGTAAACAGAACCACGCGGTCGCGACACAAACACAAAGCTTGTGTTCCTTATCATCATCGCCTTATCATACCGGTGTATACTCGAGAACATAATTTCACTGTTGTATACGAAGTCTGCTTGTTGTATTGACAGCTAACGCGATGTATGCCGCATAACGTGAAAGTGACGTATGTTAGTTGAAATCAAGTGGATACAAATCAGGTCAGTGAGACGGGCCGACAGCTGAAAGGTTAGTAAACAGTATCTTCACAACCTGTTTGGATCGCGAATTTGATTCTGGTTGTTTAACTTTAAATACAAGTAGCGTGAATAATGGGTATTTTTCAGGATGCACTTGTAATAAACTTGTAATTACTAGCATACCAGCTTATGGACTGTCATACTGTTTTTGAGATGGTATTGATGAATAGCAAATAGTTGTATACACGAATCGTACACAAGGTCCGTAGTCACAGTGGCTTGACAAGAAAAAGAATGAAAATAAAGATACTATCTCCGTCCGTCAGACCAACATAGGGCCAACCGTGTTCATCTGTTATATGCTTACTGGCAATCATCAACACGGTCTAGGTTAGGTGTCCAGTGAGGACAACAAACTAAAGCAGAGTAACACAGTGTTGTTCAGACGTACCAAATAGGTATTATTGGTTATCATTAGTTAAAATGTTTACATTTTATTTTAATCATACGCCTGTATAGAGTTTCTGAATCTGAGGCGAAACAAAGGCTGATACGAGAAATCTAATATATCATGTCCCAGTTTCCATAAACTAATTTGGACATGACACGAAAACAATATTTTTGGCATTTTACTGCTGTTTTCAGTGATAAAGTATGCAAGACCGTATTTGGGACCTTTGAAAAATGTCAGCCACATAAAAAAATGGTTTCGAGCACCTAAAAATGGTGCAAGGTCTTTGAAATTCAGGATACCTGTATGCATGAATGATAAGGGCGTTGTCAAGACAACATTCAGGCTTGCGGACTCATAGCAGTTAACGAAGCTTGTTTACTTTGTCTTGTCTTAGATTAAAATGGTGAATAATTACTTTTTATATTTACAAGCAGGTGCTGTTAAAAACTGTGATTGAACAAGTCGCTATATTTCTAGCAAAGTCAGCAACTATTATGCTAGCCCCTATTTTTGGCGATGAGTATTTAATAAATGTTACCGCCTAAAGGCGTAGGAAACTATGGACATTCTTGTAAAAATACAAATTCATTTCAGTATCACATGTGCAAGATACTGTGCATAGTACAGATATGCTTTCTCTTCAACTTAATCGACAAAAATATGTTGCAATCTGTTGCTAGATCTTATATTTCTTATATTGATATAGTTAGAAAGTAAATACTTGGAGAACGTATCATCTGTGGCATTACTGACGAAACAAGATAGTTTATGCAACTGTAAACGCAATGTCTCTCTGTAACAACTATCATAGCTGTGATACAAAAACCAAAAACAATAAGAAAATTCATTGTTAGATAACACCAGTATTTTGTAACCATTTAAATAGGTGCACCTATAGACAGACCAATGGGTGGATGGACGTGAGTTTCCGTGGTAAAGATTACAGTAATAACCAACCAAATGACTCAAAAACTCAAAAAAATAAAGAATGCACTAAGCTTTCAGATACATATGCAAATCGGCATAACAATTTGTTATTTATCTTCTTCCCTGAATACTATTCAATCGGTTAAATGTTTCCAGAAAGTGGTTGTAAAATCCATACTCGTCAATTCACCATAAAACCGCTATTCCTGAGTATTGTTGATTGGGCAGCTGTCACACTGCCAGTAAAAGTTCAACCTTTAACATTTCATAAGTTTATGCCAGCATTTATTAATATACATGTTTGTTGTTTGTTACAACGATCAGAAAAATACATGTTTAGACCTTCAAAGATATTGTCTTATATTCAGTTCAATTTGCCATTTCATGACTAGCTCACATACAGGGTGTTCAATAAGTACCACGACAAACTTAAGGGGAAGGTAGGCTTTGTATTGACCTCCCAAATAACAATAACCTGCCTACCTATATAAAGGTGTTACCGTTTTTGAGATATTGAATATTTTCTTAAATTTTAAGAAAACAAACTTTTTCATCTGTGGTCTTTAGCTGCATGTACAAGTAAGGTTATATTTTGTTAATTTTTTCTATAAAATACTTCTAGATAGTAGTTTTATCATATACAAATGCAATGTAGTTAAAAGATATTAAGGAACCATGACCAAATAAGGACTATTTTGGGATTTATGACCTTCTGATATTTTTTCTTCTAGAAGCATTTTATAGAGAAAATGAACAAAGTATGACCTTATTTGTACATGCAGCTAAAGACCGCAGATGAAAAGGTTGGTTTTCTTAGAATTTAAGAAAAAATTCAATATCTCAAAAACGGTGACACTTTTATAATAGGTCAGATTTTGTTATTTGGGGGGTCAGTCCAAAGCCTACCTTCTCCTTGAGATCGTCGTGGTACTTATTGGACACCCTGTATATTATAACTTCCACTAGCCAGTCTGATAGTGTTTTTGTCGTAAAAATAAAACAAGACAAATACGGGGAATCCATTTTTGTGTACTTTAAATTTGAAATCAGGTTCCTTGAGATGCATATTGGTATCATATAATCAAGTTCATTTCTCCTGAAGAGCTCAAGTTAATCAGAAAACGTGATGTCGAAAAGTGCTTATCATGCTGCAGTTCCTCACATAATGCAAATTATTGCAAGTGTCGTCATTATACACTCTTCAGTAATATATAAAATTATGTGATTTATACCCTTTTAAATAAATGAGTGATTGAGCATTATCTACTACAATACGTCCGGGTACTTGAAAATCATAATAACTGGTATCATAATTCAATGTCAAATACTTATTCTATAGCACTGATCCGTAAATTAATATTGTTCTCAATTATGTATTTTACGTTAGTCTAGTTCATCAGATAAGTGAAAAGAAAATAACCCTCATTATTCCATATACTCGTACAACATTAAAGCACTCACATAAAGTCTTGCTAGTTGTTTAAATGACGGCGTCGAGTGGGCTGACTCTGCACTCCCCACGCAATGCCGTCATCTGTTTGTAAAGTATTGTGTCCGGCACAAGTAAGACCTTATGAGAAAAAAGCTAGTTACGAACATGTATAATAGAAGAATTAAATGTACAAAGTTAGTCAAACAAACCCACATAATTAGTCCATAGATACTCTTTCCCCACCCTACCAGTAGTCCAACTGGCAACTTCGCATTTCAACGGTACCTCGCAGTACCAAGCGTCAGCCGCGGCAGCACGGCAGTAAGACCAGGACAGTTATCGAGCCCGGTACATTCGCCGAAGCAGTGTCGCGTAATGAAAGCACGTATCTATCATTCTGTTTTAAGGTAAATGTACGGGAATCTAATATGTGTGAAATATGTCTAACAGGAGCGTAGAGCTACCGCGGTTTGGACTCTTTAGACACACTGAAATTAACAAAAATATAGTCCTCCTCCATCTCCTAGAACCTCCAACGTTGCCCCTAAATTTTGTTTCAAAAATGATCAGAATCCTCTGAAACGTCAAAGAACGAAGTTTGAGCGACTTATATTCATTTCATTGTTTCTGGCATTATTTGCCGCCATTGGACGGATTTTCAAAAACTACAAAACTCATTCATAGAAGTGTGTAAAAATTGTATCAAAATCCGGTACTTTTCGAGCTATACTGTAGACGGCCCTGGTATTAGCAGACAGACAGATAGGTCGACAGTCAGACGGACCTACGGATAAACGGAGATGAGTCACATGGATTATTTGTATTTTACATGTCATATAACATAGGATACTTCCTCGTCAATACTCGTGGGGAGTAAAAAGAGCTTTGTACTGACTAACATTCACAAATAATAATATGTCTCCTGATTGTTTGTTTGTTTGTTTACATCTTAATAGATGACCGATCGCACTGGTTTCTTCTTGAAGTAAAGTACTATGTTAACAATGCGACTCAGTAGTTACATGTATCTCAAAGAATGGCAGCCTGATGTATCAAAACTGCAGAATTGGTTATATTATCATACGACTGAGGCAAACCAGCCTAACTGTCGAATCTTGTCATGAGGATCGGAAAAAAGTATTCTCTTACTAGGAACAGATACCAGTCCATTCGTAATTTCGTCAAAATTTGTATTCAAATGTCTCTAGCAATCACAAATTATTCTTGCTTATAATTATTCGTTTTAATTCTGTCCGGTCTCTATTCATAGAAATTTGCAAAATCTTAGTTATATCGTCGCCTTTTTCACTGCTAAAATACCACAAATTGAGATAACCCGCATGCCGGTTAATCTGACGAAGAGGCATAACTATATATTCGTGTAGGCAACACTCTATTAACCCCTGGGTGTCTTACCTGCAAAGATAAATATATAATTCCCACGAAGAGACCTAAATGAAGATAGGTGTCTTAGGCCCGTATCGTCAGTCGTCCCTACAATTGTAGGGCGCGTTTATGGCCTCCTTGATTGTCATACTCCTTTCTCTCCTTCAAAAATTTCTAGATGACACTTGTCGCGTGTCAGCGTCAGCGCTCTCCTATTGTGAAGATATGTTTTCTTTTTAAATTGTAGGTAATTTCAGGCTGATAAAACATGATATAACTCAAAAGCAAGCACAATTTGATGCAAGTAGATGTTTGTGACATGACCTCAAAATAGAGCGCTGACACGGAGAAGTAGAAAACTATGACAATCAAGGAGGCCATAAAGGCGCCCTACAATTCTATGGACGACTGACGATACGGGCCTTAGGCCCAATTTCACCAACATTAATATTATGGACCAATGGAAAATACCTTATCGAAATGCAATTTGACAGAAGCTATCAAAGATCTCTGAATATTAGTGATTTCTATTGAAATATTGAATAAAATCGTGAAAATTCGACTGTATTATAAACAAGACCACTTTTTGATTCCAACATGATGCTTTTGTACATAAAAAACAGGACAACTTTCATGTATTTTGATATATGTTATAGGTTTACATTTAACAATCCGTTATCCCCCTCAGCGAATGGGAATGCGGCAAATAATAGGTCAATTTTCTAGCTGGTAAATTTGGCGGCAGATTTGGACGTTTGTTAATGCATGGAACTCTCGAATTTATCAACTTCAATATACTGAAAGTTATCATTACATACCTGTTGAATAGTGTCATATTATAACGTATAATAGTAATCATTCATTAATTTATGGGTTAATGAATTTCTTCAAAGCAATAAAAACATTATGTCCTCTCCATCCTAAAACACAGATAATATGTGTAAGACGTATCAATTCCTACATCTCCCTGATGCATAATGCAATTACTATGGACATAGACAAAACATTGTGAAAAATGTTTCACAAATAATGTCTTTCAAGTCCAAAAATTATAAAAACTAGTAATGTTTAATGTTTGTCTTTTTGACTGGCGGGGATATCTATCTGTCACTCGCAGGGTTGCCAAGTCTAACGACGATCACGTCCCGTGGTGGAGGGTGCGAAATGAATCTCTTACATTTGCTGGTTTTGAATTTTTTCTCGTGAAAATTTACTAGGTATCATGATTATAAGCATCTTTGGTAGATTGTTCGATCCGGAATGGGAAAGATCTCCTATTTATGAAAATATTTTGGTATCATCTAACCGTTGCAATCAGTGCACAAACACTGTGACATATGATTTATAACCCGCTGCCCTATCAACACAAATTTAACATACAGGTCGCCTAGCCGTGGGGATGCAGTGGTCGGGATGAATATCACGGCAGCAACTGATGATTTGGGCATGTCTGGTAACAACTTATGAAGTGAAACTCGCCAACTTCACAAATTTGAAGATTTTGTATAATTTATTTGAAAATGATGAAAGATAAGTCTGATTTGGCATAGTAATGTCGCAGCCAAATGGCAGTCACTCTTTCTGACACAGTCCGGATCGAAAGATGACGATACTCGTGAAATGGATTGATACTTCTAAATACAGGATCGTATCGAACATCCCTACTGTCAAGATGTATAACCGAAGGGTACCGACGGAGCTATTTTGCGGCGTCAAATAATTTTAAATTTGCATTTGCATGTTTTCAAGTGTTGTGCAATGATTTTGGGAAAAATGTCACGAATAGTCTTATAAAGCATAGTAGAGTATATTTCAACAGTTGGCGGAACTTACTCCACTAGGACCAGGAGGGTGAAACGGGATATTAATGCACAATCTGGCAACCCTGTCGAACCCTCACAAAATGGCTGCTGACAACCACACAAGTCACCGTGTTGTCATTGAATAGCATGGAATTAAACCTTCAGA